TATATACAGTACCTAATTTATATATAATTAATATATAATTATATGTACAGTACCTAATTTATATATAATTTATATAATACTGTCCAGACGATAGAAATCTCTCCGTAGCGTGGCGCTACGGACAGCGGGAAAGTAGTTCGGCTGCCCGATGACGTTTGAGGTAATTATAGGGAATTTTTACTGTTTTTTACGGATACCGGTCACAATTTTTTCGTAGTTTTATAGGAATCGTAATTATAGGGACCGTAATTATAGGGGGATCGACTGTACACTATTTTTTTAATATGAAATAACTCAATAGTAAAATGTATATACATTTCTCAGATGACTTATATTACCATTCTGAAAATTCTTAATAAAACTCTGCATTTAGAAAACTTTAAAATTTGTTTAATATAATATTTAAAACAATTTACAATCAGATTAAATAAAACTGTCTTTACTTCTTAACTTTTAATTAAATTGTATTCTGTGCATATTGATCAATAGTTGAGATTATAATGTATTCTCAGGAGGATTTTTTTAAATCAAAAGTTAATTGTCTATTTAGTAATTACAATAATCTGAAATAGCAAATTTTTACTAAGTAAAGGATAATTCAAATTTAACAAAGAACAGCTTACAATTAAGCATATTAAAAAATTATTTCTAAACTTTTGTCAACATTAAAATAAATTTTCTTTAAAAAATTCTTAGAGATTTGAGGTTTCTACTCAAATCTCTAAGAATTTTTTAAAGTGAATTCTAAATTGAATTATAAATAAGTTACAAATTCTTATACAGTAAACTTGTTGTATCAATTCAACAATGGTATAATGATATTTCCATAGTGCACTGCTATTTTAATATTGATATAATGACCCTGTAAAGATCGTAATTGTATAAGAGCAACATTTTGAACATTGAAACAATAAATGTGAAAGTAAAAAAATGTAGCAACAAGAGTTACATAACTTTCCCAGCTGTTACAAAAGTTTTTTTTTAAAACTCATATATTAAGCAAAAAATAAAATTCTATGTGGTGCCATCTTTTATCAGATTTTGTTATAAAAACTTTTTATATTTTTAGTTACTATAAAATGGCAAAAATCTTATTTTGAGGGTAGAGTGAGTTTTATAAAAAAGTGTAAATGTTAATAATGAATAAAATCTTCATTGAGTCCTATCTCTCTCGAGATACAGGATCCCTATCTATCTCCCTATCCTCTCGACCTTTCACCACCAAAATTTTATAGCATCAATGCCCCTCATATACAGGTTACCATGCCAAATTTCGTTTCTAATCCTTACTCCATTCTGAGATATTACATATATTATAATGAAATAAACAAATTTGACATGATTTCCATACTTTCCCTTGTTATTATACAAAACAGCCAGGAAAGTAAAATGAACTGTCCTCTTGTTAAGGCATATTTTTACCTAATGACCTATATATTTAAGTATTAGGGCATATTTTTATCTTAGATGAGAATATGCTGTAATATTTTTAAAATCAAAATTACAATATGTAAATGGACTTGAACATCTGTAAGATTTATTTGTATTTTATATTTTTGTTTAATAACAATATCTTACCTTACTAGTGTTTAGAAACATGCCTGTCATTCTAAAGCTATCATTTCTAGCATTTAGAAAGTTTTCCTTTTTATTCTACACACCATTTGATTATAAATATGACATTAGTCTTATCATTAGAATTCTACTATAACAGTCACCATTAAAGATTTTACTAAATGCAAATCTTGTAGGAAACTAACAAATTGTAACAATTTAAATAACTTAGATTTAGAGAGATTATTTAACAGTATGAGGTCATTTCAGATCGTTGATAAATATTCAAGATGCACTTGTTCTCTTGCATCTTTCAGAACTAGGCATTCCCAAAACTTGAGATCAATTCCAGAAAATTTGCAAAAAAAATCAAATATATTTTCTGTTAACATAGAAGAATTTAACTTTATCTAAAATTCATATCAAATTTTAAAAAATGTGGGGTGATTTATATCAGTGATTGAATTGTTATTATGCTTCTTTTACAGTTTGTTTTTAATAAATTTTCATCTTATAAAAGTTACCTAAAATTAGAAATCCTTACAGATCTATAAAATGAATCTCTGTATATGTAAAGTCAAACGAGTTAAATGAGAATGATCTCACTACTACTTAATAAGGATATTTTTGAGTATAAATGTCTGTATTTATAAATCAAGCATAGTTTCTAGCCAGCTAATATATATCTGCACCATAATGAGGAAGCTACACACCAACCAAATGCCGAAAATCTATCGGGCTAGTATAAGGCTAATTATTAAATGAAATTACGTAATCAATTTGGCTCTAGAGGTAAGCGTTAGGCGCCATCTCTTATTAACATTAATAATTATAAATAAATAAATTTAAATAATTTAGAACCGCTGGGAGAAAAAATCGGCCCTGAGCGGGACTCGAACCCACAACTCCTGCTTACCGTGCAGATGCGTTGCCAGTTACGCTATCCGGACCTCCAGTCCGATCTCCTCTTCCAGCGTATATAAGCTAACTATGTAACCATCGACGGTTATTACAACGCCGGCTGGGGACACATTCAGTGCCCACGTCCCTCATGGCACTCAACTGGCCATCGCAAGCCCCGGCAAGGCGTAATATATACAAACATCTCTAAACCCGATATATAATATAGCTAAATACCAACCAAATGCCGAAAATCTATCGGGCTAGTATAAGGCTAATTATTAAATGAAATTACGTAATCAATTTGGCTCTAGAGGTAAGCGTTAGGTAATGTTAATAAGAGATGGCGCCTAACGCTTACCTCTAGAGCCAAATTGATTACGTAATTTCATTTAATAATTAGCCTTATACTAGCCCGATAGATTTTCGGCATTCGGTTGGTGTGTAGCTTTATTATATATCGGGTTTAGAGATGTTTGTATAATGAGGAATTTGAATTTAAGTCTGGATTGCATCCTTAAAAATTTTTATATGACGTATGGTCCAGATTTTACTGGATCCCATTTCTCACCCACTTAGATGTTTCAATGTGACTTACTGAACTTAAAAAATAAATCCATTAAAGGTACAGTAAGTTTCACTTAAGTCTTGTGCCAACAGAGTGAGAAGGAGTTAAAACTTCTTGCATTTAATTAATACTGTTAAATATAAGGCTGAATGCAAATTTTGTACTAATGAGAAATAATAATTAGAAAAAAAATGTATTTAATAATAAACGTTTGTTATTTAATTTGACTGAAGCACCATTAAACACAAATTTTTGGATGACATTTATGTTATGTGAATGTGATTTAACTTGGTTTTTATTAATTAATTTGAGTTAAATTCAACTGCAGTGCATACTAAAAAATGGAAATAGTATCTTTCATGCATGCACATTGAAATATAATTTAAATAGCAGCATTATCAGTGATTTATGTTGTGACATCTAATAATGCAAGGCAATCTTGGCACCACTACCTACTGAATTGGTAGTCCTGTCAATTGATTGATTGGGTCATCAACTTTCTATAACATAGGAAGTATAGACTGTCTGTGTTTCTCTTTTGCTGAGTAGCTTGTTTGGCAACCATGCAATTATGAGCTTGAAATTCTGTTTGTGAACCAAATTGTTCAAAAAGTGAGTTGTTCCAAGGTTTGACTGTATTTTGGCAGAAGTGATTTTATTTATAAATAGGAAATGAAGTCAAATTTCAAACCATTTGAGATTTTTTTTTAACTATTATGAATTAATCAAGCTAAATACATTATTATTCTAAAAGTAATACTGCATTTAATATTAAATACTAATTTACCATAAAATTATATTTTAGTATATAGAAAATTTTTACACAGATTCTATTAATTGTGAAATTAAAGTATTTATTAATTTTTGAAATTCTGAATGACCATACTGATATGGAACTTCATAAGTTCCAAACTCTTCAATACATTAAATGTAGAGGCCAGTTCAGGAAGGATATGAGTTCATGGTTCCATGTTTTGAGATACAGCAAAATAAAAACTGCTGCCAACAAAGTATTTGACTTTAAATGTTTGTGACAGCCCACAATTCCCATCTATTTGACAATATATTTCTATTGTCAAATAGATGGGAATGCATGCACAGGGAACAAAATAACTGGTCAAAAAACCAGCTGGTTAAAAACCAGCTATTTGTAGACATATTTCTCTTGAACTGACCTCTTCAAATGATGTATAGTCATTGGAGAAGAAATTTTATGTTAATTAATAGAAAATATTATCAGAAAATTACTATATTATAAATACACTATGCTGCTTCTAATCTGGCTGTTCCTTGCACAGAGAAATGCCAAATTACTGGGGGTATATAGACCGAAAGACAATGAATGATGTGACCTGTTACCTTTAGTACTTATTCCTTTTGGAGCTGTATTATTTTGTGAAATTATGTACAATGATACAGTAATTGTAAGTTTGATTTTTATTGAGCTGAGCAAATAATGCTCACTTCTTTACCCAAAAATGTCATTGGATTTAAATAAACTTATCTAAAATGGCTTGACCGATCTTGACCAAATTTAGTATGGACATTAAGTTCAAATTGGAGAATGTTGTAAGATGTTTGGAATCCTGAGTAGATTGTGTCCTTGAGGGCATGGGACAACTCTGCCATAGACTTAAGCTGGGGCTTTGGATACTCAGCTCAATTTATAGGCATTGAAAACAACAAATGTGATCCTAGTTAAAATTAATGTTACAAGTTCACTGTGTATATTTAAAAAATATGAATAACAGACAAACATAATTGAGATGCTGGATCATTAAGGATTAACAAGTGTATATTGTAACTTATTTGTGTAATAATTAATTAATAGATAATGCATCTCTAATTTTGTTGTCAAGAATTTTCTGTATATAAAGCAGAGTTTTCAAATTGAAAATAAATGGTAACAAGAATTCATTTTTGTTACCACGTTATTTGTTACCAAAATTCAAACTGAATTTTAATTATCTATTTTAAGGTTGGAATCCGATATTAAACGACTTAAGGCAGATTTACAAGCAAGTCGGCAATGTGAACAAGAACTGAGAGTACAAATACATAACCTTACTGTTGGTGAACGTTCAGTTAAGAATGAATTTGCACAGTTACAGCAAGATAATGAGAATTTACAAAATAAGTAAGTTTTTATATTGTTTATTTTAAATATTAGAATCTTTTTGAGATTACAAATGTGAGTTTGTTACTTTTGTTTTTGATAACATTATTATTATATCTAAATAAAATGTAAGTAACTGGATAAGATCAAAATAAATAAATGAATAAAATCTTTAAAAGTTGGCATTAGTTTTTAATAAACAAATGTTTCCAGCTACATTAATAGTCGTCATCATGTTTGAATACAGAACATCACTACAAGCATTATGGAATAAATTAAATACAAAATAATGGAATACAGTAAGTTTAACAAATATAAATTAACGATTCAATAAATAACATCTAAATGTAACAAATATGTTTGGTGTTTACTAATATGTTGTGTATATGTAGTGAAGTGTCTAAGGCCGAGACTCCACTAGCATAAAAACTCTTGCTGTAATTACTTTTAATCATGTGACCATGNTGCTCTTTTTAAATACTTGAAAGAAATGTATGAATGATTAATAAATTCAAAATTAGTCTAGAATCACAAAAAAATTATTTAATACATAAAAATTTGAATAACATTATTATTATATCTAAATAAAATGTAAGTAACTGGATAAGATCAAAATAAATAAATGAATAAAATCTTTAAAAGTTGGCATTAGTTTTTAATAAACAAATGTTTCCAGCTACATTAATAGTCATCATCATGTTTGAATACAGAACATCACTACAAGCATTATGGAATAAATTAAATACAAAATAATGGAATACAGTAAGTTTAACAAATATAAATTAACGATTCAATAAATAACATCTAAATGTAACAAATATGTTTGGTGTTTACTAATATGTTGTGTATATGTAGTGAAGTGTCTAAGGCCGAGACTCCACTAGCATAAAATCTCTTGCTGTAATTACTTTTAATCATGTGACCATGATATTTTATGCCAGAGTGGGTCGTAAAACAAGCGTAAAGCGAGTTGAACACTCTTCAGTCTATTACTTCTTGACTCCATCCTGTTCTTCTTGGTCCTTTTCATATTATCACATTTTCTCTCTTCTTTCTATCCTTTTACAGAAAATGCTTGTTCAGTAATTACATTCTGGAATATCCCAAATTTAGAAAGTGGTTTTTCTTCCTCCAATGGCAATTTGAGTTTTGATTCTTCCTAATGGCATGTGTCATCTGTATCTGTATTATCAAAATGTTAAATGAACTGTCTTTTAAGGAAGTATTGTTCCTTTTTTATAGATGTTCCATGTAGAGTTCCTTTTAATTTTGTTTTGATAAAAATTTAAAGTCAAAAGCAAAGTATATAACAGACCATCTATATTTTGGGCCTTTACAAAAGCTTTACAAAGAATATAAAGCTGTATATTGTGAAAAGGAATAAAGCTGAGTTGAAATAAAAATATTAATTTTTTCTTATATTTTTAGATTATTAATATTTATTTTTTATTATATTTTGTAATTTATTAAAAATATCTTTTTGTTTAAACTTTAATTTAGCAATGATAGTTCNTCGTAAAACAAGCGTAAAGCGAGTTGAACACTCTTCAGTCTATTACTTCTTGACTCCATCCTGTTCTTCTTGGTCCTTTTCATATTATCACATTTTCTCTCTTCTTTCTATCCTTTTACAGAAAATGCTTGTTCAGTAATTACATTCTGGAATATCCCAAATTTAGAAAGTGGTTTTTCTTCCTCCAATGGCAATTTGAGTTTTGATTCTTCCTAATGGCATGTGTCATCTGTATCTGTATTATCAAAATGTTAAATGAACTGTCTTTTAAGGAAGTATTGTTCCTTTTTTATAGATGTTCCATGTAGAGTTCCTTTTAATTTTGTTTTGATAAAAATTTAAAGTCAAAAGCAAAGTATATAACAGACCATCTATATTTTGGGCCTTTACAAAAGCTTTACAAAGAATATAAAGCTGTATATTGTGAAAAGGAATAAAGCTGAGTTGAAATAAAAATATTAATTTTTTCTTATATTTTTAGATTACATAATTTGGTTACTGCAAGACAACAAGATAAAGCTACTATAAGTCAGCTGGAAAAAAAACTTCAAGATGAAAGAAAATTAAGAACTTTATTAGAGGGTCAGTTGGCTAATGAAAGAAAAGCTAAGAAAGCTGAAGAAGCTGCTGCAGCAAGAGCAGTTGCTATGGCAGCTGCAAGGTAAGAAAAAGCATATTTAAATATTTTAATAAATATATTTCTGTAAATTCTAAAGCTAGAACTATCTTCTAAATACTAAAATTCACACTTTCTTATCACTTTCCAGCATTCACTGATTAATGTCTATAGCAGTTTGGAATAACCTTCAAAGTTTGAAATAACTTAGATTATTCCAAACTTTGAACTTGCTATAGACATTTGATATAGAATCTGCTTAATCTATTACAGGCTACTGTTCTTAATCAGTGAATGCTGGAATGTGAGAGGACGATGTGAATTTATATTTCTGTAAAAAATAATAATAACCTTATATGTAAGCTCAAACATCAATAATAACAATTTATTTCACATTTTTTTAGGAAAAAATTTTTCCTGAAAATGTGATTCAAAATAGTTTGGTATAAAATATTTCTTTAGGAATTAATAAAATATTAGAGATATATTTCTGTAGATTGTCAATATGATTTATAAATAGTAAATATTACCACTTAAACACTAACACATGTTATAATAAAAGTGTTTTATAAACAATTTAATATATATTTAATAAATCGAATGAAGTACTAATTAAATTATAAATAGTAATAAAAACATTAAACAGGGTAAGTAAATAAGACTATAATTATTGGAAATTTTTATTTTTGTTGCGATTCAAATCTTACTGTCATCAGGTGGAGATGTACTGTACAACCCTTATGGTCATATATGCATAAATATAGCCTCTTCTGTCTTAAACCCTCTATTTTCCATTTTGTTATCTTAAGGACAACACCAGTGAATGTTGTGTAGATTTGTATATCATACCTTTGTATGTATCCATCTTGAGTAATCCAGGTTGATCTCAAAATAAAACCTATGTTTTGTGACTACAGAGCTCATTTTTGAGTTATTAAACGATTTTATTGATTCAGACATTAAATGAATAAACAATAAACATCCAGTGTTCTTTGCCTATTGGTTTTTTCAGTAGTCTACTGCTTTAACAACAGCTGATATATAATTAAAGCAAGATATGTCAAAAACTGAAACTTCGAAAATGTGAGCAAATAATAATTAAAATGATCAACATTTTAAAGTATAGGTTAAGATTGAAAACAATTGAATGGTATGAGCAAAGCTGTGTTTATAGGTGGTTTGGGAGTTTAAACACCAATTTTAGAAGAATTAAAAAGTAAGTAAGAAAAAATAAAGTGCCTATAATCTATATTGTAAAATTAATAAACTACATTATGAAAAAATTTCTGTTTTTTTTTTTTAAACCTACTCTTTAAAAAATCCTTTCTACGGGCCTGGGTATTAGCCACATGTTGAGGCTGATAGCTTTAAAAAAAGTGTTAGTCCATTTACCTGAAGATAATGATAACTATAATCAAACTTTGATTACAATAAGTATATTCTACTGTGTGTGTATGTGTGTGCACATGTGCATACAGAGTGTCTCGAAAATACGGAGCATAGTATGACTTCTTCATATGTAGACAATAAAAATAGTTTATATTAACACAGGTCTGGAAATACTCGGTTTCTGCATTTTGAAGGTCTCTATGATACATAACTCGTTCATATTGCCTTACAAACATCTGTCTGGAGCACTCCTGACAGACCCTTTGCACAAGATGGTCCTTGTGATAAAGAAAGTCACTTGCAGATGAGACATTCCCATTAATAACTCAGAAACTAAGACAGATCTTTGTAAGGCACTGTGAACAGTTGTTTTATAAATAGACCTTCAAGACTTTAGTGTAGTGTCTTATAAAGTTTAATAAAAAAATAAAATCAGTTTATTTTGCTCCATAACTGTGGCACACTGTATTGCATATTATACATATGATCTACATATATATTTGCATATTATAGATCATATAAACTGTAGTTCATATGATCTATAATACATATAATACATAGTTCATATAATTATACATATAAAGATTCACTAAAAACATGAAAGCATATGCAGTGGAACCTGGTTAACTTGAAATGGGATAACTCAAAAGTCACAGTTATTTGAAGTTATTTTCTTTTTCCAATCATCTAGCATGTGGTAGTAATTATTGAAAATAATTTATTTTATGATTACTTTTATTTTTGTAATTAAATAAAATCGTAAAGAAAAACGTGTTTGCTTACATCTTCAAAATTTTTCAAAGTAAATGAAATGTTAATATTAATCATTCATTATTGGTTCTAATGTATTTATTTAACTATAGGACAGAATGTACAGATAGTTGTAAAATGAGGCGGAGAGATTTGGAAAATGATATAAAGCAAATGCGCCGTGAACTGAAATTACGAGAAGAGCAACTTCACCAAGTGGAGAGAGAAGCTCAGGTATACATTAGTTTTTTAGCATTCTTAAAAACAACAGGTAAAATGTTATTAATCATTTTTATTATTTTTAATAATTACAAAATTTTAAATAATTTTTAGATGGGATTTACTTTAACTAATGTAAAATTTATTGAAAAAGGCTTAAAATTTTACGAAAACTTCTTATGTTGGAGATATTTATTACAACTCATTTTATTATTCTAGTTCCAAGATATCTAAATTCTTTAGAAACAGTTATTGTATAATGAAATATTTCTAGTTTATAATACTAATTTTTTAAAAATAAATTTTTGTAGGTTGCATTGTAGATTTTGTGTATGTATATGTACTTGCTAGCTATTATGTGGTATGTTTGCACTATTTAGTATTATTGTGACTATTTTTATTATTAAACACTTATTTAACTTGCTTTATATTGTATCCTCACATCTTGCAACTCAAATTTCATCCACTCCTAATTAAGATAGAAAGCTGAAACTTTGAGGATATGCATAAGTCTGATGATGTTTGAGGTAGCCCCATTCCCATCACAAATCTCAAAAAACAAAACCAAAATATAATGTAATCAGTAATTATATTTGTAAATAATATTTCAGGTATGTGTGTTTAAGTGCATTGTAATAATGTAAAAGTGTTATATATATTGAAATTGTAGTGAATACAAAAATAAACCAAATTAACTAAAGGTATCCCTCGTATAACACGGTAGTTACGTTCCAAAAAAGTGTTGTGTTATGCGAATCCATGCTATACAAATTAAAAAACTAATGCAAAACATAGGATTAGGTTCCAAAAGTTAGCAAAAGTATACTATTCTTTTTTGCTACTAAGGGAAATATTAAGCAATCAATAATTTATTTCCAATCAATAATTAACACAATAATCATAATTAAAAGTACTGTATTAGGTGTTAATATTATTTTTAGTTAAACGAGGGCATTTTCTTTTTACAAAGTATTGTTGTCTTCTGAGCTTTTTTGTTGATCTTGATCAGAAATATCAGCAATGTCTTCATATTTTTTATTTTTACCATAAAAATCTTTTATGTATGACAAAATAAAAAGTAAAAATATGTTATTAATCGAAAATTTGTTCTAGTAGTTTAAGTTTGTTCAATAGGAGCAGTTCAAGTGCTGAGATACCACTGTATTTTGTTTGTCATTTTTATGAATGATTACTTACCTATGGTTAAAAAAAGTTTTGTAACACTTACTTAAAATGTTTAAATAAACTTTACTAAATATGAAGATTAATCTATAAAAAGAAAACATAGTGACAGTCTTAAGGGCTAAAGTCTGAAAACAATGACAATGACATCCAGTTGATAGGAAAGCTAGGACAAGGAAGAAACAAATTGCACTATCAGTTTTCATTAATGTAAACCTGACGAAAGGCACAAAACCAATTGAAAATTTTGATATTCTAAAATCCGTGGGCAAATTTGAGACAGCATTTGTGCTTACTTGAATAAAAACAATATCAAATAACAGAGTTTGCACTTAAAAATTGTGAAATTATGTACGGAGGATTTCTCAAATTTTTGAACCATGTTAGATTGAAACCGTGTTGAAGTGCCATGTTGTATGAGAGTTACCTATATATATATACAGTAGAGCATCGATTATCTGAATACTGATCAACCAAAACATCGGTTAACCAAAAGCATTTCACTGTCGCGACCATATTGTGTCATTAAAAATTATTTCTTTATTTTGCATGAACAAAATAAATATATTGAAAAATATAAAAACAAAAAAATTATATTTCGGAAGTTAATCTAGTATCAAAAACATTCCGATTCATACATACTTAAGGACACGCCAGTATTTGAATGAGGCTTTTTTTCCCCCATTGTGAGCTATATTCTAGACCTTGCATAGTGAGTGTTGTGTTTTGCTTCAGCTCGTTGGAGAATATAGCCCACGCGGCTGACATCTCCAGATAAACCCAAGAAAAAGAAAGAATTTTGCTTGTTTTGTGTGGCGTTCTTCTGAGGACTTTGTGTCATACTGAATCGGAACGTTTTTTGATATTAAATTAACTTCCGAAGCATAATTTTTTTTTGTTTTTATATTTTTTAATATATTTATTTTGTTTGTGCAAAATAAAGAAATAATTTTTAATGATACAATAGCTACAATTATTATTTTTTAAAAATTTTCGTTAGGCTTAACATTGACAAAAATCCAATGTGAAGCAACACGCAATGGAGAAAAATTTCAACAGGGGATAGGTTAATATATTTTTTCATACATGATCAGTTATCCAAACAACCCCAGTTTCAAATTGTTTGGGATAATCAATGCTCTACTGTATTAAGTAGTAATATACTAATAAATTAGTATGATCTTATTTTATTAAAAAGTTTGATACTGTTATGTAGAACTACTAAATTATTATAATTGAAATTTAAAAATCCTAATTTTCAAATTTTCCAACTAATTTCTTCAAATATTGTAAGTTATATATGTAAGGTTTGCATAACAACTTTATCTGATTGACTTGTGGTAAGAAATACATTATTCAGCAATTAAAAATAAATTCTGATTTAAGAGTTAGCAATTTGAATGCAGAATACTTCATGTTGTCATTATTATTATAATTATTACTATAATTATTATTAAAATAAAAATTATTTATTTCTTTATAGTCACTACGTCAGTACAAAGATTCTCATGGAGACACTGAAGTGTTAATGTCAGCACTATCTGCCATGCAGGATAAAAATACTCATTTAGAAACCAATCTCAGTGCTGAAACCCGTCTTAAACTCGATTTATTTTCTGCATTGGGAGAGGCAAAGAGACAGTTGGAGATAACCCAAGGTTGGTTATAATTAAAAAACTTTTTTAATATTGTGTATTATTTTTGTTCCTATTTAGAGATTATGAAATTAAATAATAATAAATGCAAATTACATTAAATTTCTTTTAAATGTGCATTTCAATAAAAGATTTAAATTTTTCAAAAAATATATTTTTGAGTTTCTGATTTCAAAAGATTGTTTTTAGTCATTTATTGCATTAAAATACAATAGTAAATTACATAAATTAAACATTATTATGATATAATTAAGTAGAAATGCTGAATAATACATATAGTTTCTTCAAAATTTGACTAAAATTAAGTTGTAACATCCTAGGATAATATACGAACTAATAACTTTGAGAAATATTTTTAAATTATTCGATTTGTAATAGAGCAATGATAGCAAATTAGTCTGAACAAAATACTACAGTTTTGTTTATGAATTTTGATATNCCTTAACTGTATCCCGAACAACAACCGAAGTTATAGAAGGAAATTCGCCTATTTTGCCGATCTCGGGATCCCCCTTTTCCAAATTTTAATATCAACTCAAAATAATTTAAACCGTTTTATTGTAATTTGTCTTTTTATTATCCAACTATCAGAAATTTCACAACATGCCAAGGAAGAGAGGAAGGAGCAATTAAATAATTAAAATTATAAAGGATTAAAAAATATATATAAAAATGGGGAATATCGCACTTCTGACAATCTCTGCGAGTATGTGGACTAAATTTAAAGAATCCATGCTTCTCGCATGTACAATGTTCTTATATTCTTTATACATTTTCCTTTAAATTGTATAACTTCAACACACACATGCTCCAACACACCAACACATACTCACACACAGGGTTGTCTAAAAGTCAGTTAACTAAATTAATTAATGTTTTACATCTCACAAGTCAGTTAATTCATTTTTGAGCCACTCTACACAATTATAATAAATCGCTTTATTTTTCAAGCAATTAAAAGTTTAAAAAATTAGAAAAATTTATTTTTTACTTTTTTATATTGTGTTTTAGAAGATGTTCCACCACCCGAACACCAAGAAGATCTGAAAGAACAACCAAAAAGAACCTTTTTGACCGGGTAATTCTTCACTAAATAAATGAAATATAAAACAGTAATGTTTAAAAGTACATTTATAAATTATGACAAAAGTTAATATATTTTAGATATTCAGTACCAACAGAATCAGAAGCAAGAGAAATTTTGTATCATTATCTTCATCATAAATGTTGCTTCAGTACAGATCCTCTTAAAAATACCAAAATCACAAAGATTACGAATTCTTCAGTATATTTTGTAAAATATACACTATAGTCAAATTTGAACCAAATTTTTCAATTTTTACATTATGTGATTGTGAAAGATGGGAGTATCAGTTTCCTGTAAATCAAGTCCATAGTTGTATGCAATCATTAACATTCATTATCATATCATTATCTTCATCATAAACAGTGCAGTAGGACTGAATTTGCATAGCAATGTCAAAGTTGATAGATAAGAAATGATGCATCTAGAGCAGCAAGTAAACATCAAATTTTGTTTGAAACTAAAATCTTCAGAAACTTTCAACACGGTACATGAAATATATTGCCAGGAAACCTTGTATCAAACATGGGTTTATGAATGACAAATGCAGTTTAAAAGCAGTTGGGACTCAAAAGTAATCTCTATTCTGGAAGACCTGACAAAATAAGGAATGATGAGATGAGAAAAGAGATCAAACAAGATTGCAGGAAAACTATTGACATTTGGCAAACATTTTGGAAATTTTTCTAAATTTTGTTGTTCTAAGGAATTTATTTACACAAAGATGTACAAACAGTATGAAGTTTACACACTGGTGATTGGAAAGTTGGTAGACAATGTTGACCAGGGTCCTCACCTAATGAATAGAACAATGACTGGTGACAAAACATAGTTTCCTTCAAATGTGTCTTTTATATGGAAATCACACAGTTTACCATAACAGAAAAAAATTCAGATTGATAAATCAAAAGGGGAGGTGATATTAGTGCAGATATTCATGGTTTTGTACCCCAAATTTTTTTCCTGGGAGTCAAACTGTCATTAAAGAAAGGTATATTCAAATTCTCAATTGTCTACCTAAAGTTGTATGATGGAAGCAGTCTAATTCATGAAAGAGAGAACTGGATCCTTTATCATGTCGCTGTGCTCAGTTGTTCCTGTTCAAAAAATATCTGACCAAGAGATGTATAACAGTTTGTTCTTTAATCTCCTTACTTTCCTGATTATGCCCACAAAATTTTTTTTGTTTCCTAAAATGAAAGAGATTGAACAGTTGCAGGTTTCAGTTGGAAGTAGGATGGAAGTTGCCAATTGAAACTTGCAACCCTTCAATTTCTATTTTATTTTAGGAATGCAAATGAGTGTGTGGAAGCTGTAACAACAAGCTGTAGACATTACAAAAAAATTGCTTCTGTGACTACTTTGACAAATGGTATAGATGCTGGCCGATGTATGTAGCTAAGGAGTAGCTCACTTTGAAGTTGGTTTGCTGGAGTTCTTGTATTGTGACCATCTATGTATTCTGTAATATAACCTGTTCCAAAAGTTTGGTTCATTTTGACTTTCTTTCTCTTATGTACAGGGTTGAGTTAAAAAATAAGATCTACTAGTGTTCTGTGAAATGCAAAAATAGCAACATATGACTGCCACCATTTAATATCCACAAATATCTAATCTATTTGTCTGCAGTCTCAGTTCCATATGTTGTATTGTTATGTAACAGGTAAGGTTAAACATAAACTTGTTTATCTCTTTTCATACAAAGCAACAATCAGTGATAAAAGTTTCCATGTTTAAAACTTTGTGTCTGTTGAAATTCATAGAAGTTTGAAAACTGTTGCAAGAGATGTATTTGCACAGTAATGTCAGAAAGAACTATCTTTTTCTTGCACTGTGATAATGCAAAACTACTGTACAGTAAGAAAATGGCAAGATGCTTACAGACATGTAGTTACAGATTATTCCTCATTTTCCTGATCTGGCACAAATTTTCAGACTTCTGGTTGTTTCCAAAATTGAAGAGATATTGAAGAGTCAACACTTTCATGGATGTTAAAGTTTAAACAGTTGTATAAAAATGGATCAAGGAAAAAATCAAAGGTTTTTCTTGCATGAAATGCAAAAATGAATATTTGGAAAAATTTGCCAATCTAACTGGTGTTTATGATTAAAATAAACTATTTTTACTTTTTACAGAAAGAATAAAGACTAAGTCTTTCATTAAATGTGTTGTGGTTATTTGAATTTTAAATTCGTGATGCTCTTTTTAAATACTTGAAAGAAATGTATGAATGATTAATAAATTCAAAATTAGTCTAGAATCACAAAAAAATTATTTAATACATAAAAATTTGAATAACATTATTTTATACATATTAGAATCTGATCATTGCTATCACTTGATTTGCCTGTACTGACAATAACCAACTGATAACATTAAGCAGTTATCAGTTGGCTATAGTCTATAATAAGTGAGAATTTTGGTTTTATGTTGGACACATTAAAACAATAAATTTAAAACTTGTCATAATAAGTATTTTAAAACTTGTCATGTTATTCTCTATCTTCCTAAACTAATTTTACAAAAATTGAGACTTATAATTACCAATCAACCCTCATATATTTTACATGTATATACTCTGTATGTGTATATATTTTTAGATTATTAATATTTATTTTTTATTATATTTTGTAATTTATTAAAAATATCTTTTTGTTTAAACTTTAATTTAGCAATGATAGTTCAGAAGGATAAAGAAATTGATGAACTCAAGTCAAAAATAGCAGAAGTTATGGCTGTTATGCCCGTAACAAGCACCAATAATTACCCACCACCTGCTATTACTCTTGCTTCAGGAATCGTTTCTTCACTCCTTTACAGTCCTAAGTTTCACACCGAGGAAAAAGTCACAAAATCAACATTGGATCCAAATGCTTCTGTCTACACACCCAAAGTGGTACCATCAGACATGTGAATAGATACTTTCTCAATAAGAATATGGTAGAAAACTGGTGCAGTAATGACTTATTATTTCATTCTGATTTATTATATTGAACTTTATCATCTGATATTTCTTTAAAAGTATAATATCAGTGTGCTTGTGATAAACCTGTATATATATATGACTTTGTGCAAAGACTATTTGTTGTAGTGTAGTATAGAGACGTAAGATATTTAAATGTTTTCATAATCATTTGTAATAATATTACATTGACTATTCATAAAGAATATAAATTATTTTGTTTTGTTTAAATAAAAACATTTAAATACTTCAATTTATTATGTTTTATAATAAAATTAAAATTCCTTAAAGAGAATTTTAATATGATTTTTATTAACAAAGAAAAATTGAGCAAAGCTTAAATTCTGTTTGTGTTTTATTATTATTGCTGGATTAAATCTATTAAAAAAATGAATAAGCATATACATTTGTAAGATCTCAAGAATTTTTAAAATGTGAATCACAAGCACATCAACTTGTTTTTCTATATATCATTTATAGCTTAAATAATAATTAAATAAGACATAACTGCACCAGTTTTCCATGTTTGGTGTATACAATTGTTTACTATGCCCAGTGAGGGTTTTTATAACCAAATATTTTGGCAAAGTTTGCTTGATTAGATTGATTTAGTTCCAAGGAACATGTAATTGTACAGAATTTAAGTTATTACAATAATTATCACCCATTTTTAAATCCTCTGCAGAATTTTGCAGGCACTGGAATTTTTTTTAATCATCACTATTTGGCTCTCACTGGGCTTTAGGTTGTAGCGAAACTTTCATAAGCAATCAATTTTTCTTATTCGCCATTTCAAGCAAATTGTTCTGTGCTTGGCTTTGTGTCACATTGTGCAAAAAAAAAATTTACCAGTGTTTAAATGCTTTCCCAATTTGTTGCCTCCTCTCCCCCTTAATTTCTGCTGATTTGCCAAACAATTCTCCATGGATTGTCCATGTTGCAACAGCAGGGGTGGAAAGAAGGGGAACTGAATGTAGTGTCCCATTTCTGTGCACTGGCGCTCTCTAGACTCGACAGAAAGAATAAAGACTAAGTCTTTCATTAAATGTGTTGTGGTTATTTGAATTTTAAATTCGTGATGCTCTTTTTAAATACTTGAAAGAAATGTATGAATGATTAATAAATTCAAAATTAGTCTAGAATCACAAAAAAATTATTTAATACATAAAAATTTGAATAACATTATTTTATACATATTAGAATCTGATCATTGCTATCACTTGATTTGCCTGTACTGACAATAACCAACTGATAACATTAAGCAGTTATCAGTTGGCTATAGTCTATAATAAGTGAGAATTTTGGTTTTATGTTGGACACATTAAAACAATTAATAAATTTTTACACACATTTTATCATAATTAATGGCAATTCATCCAGTATTGTTTGCCTTCATATTTTTCCTTTTAACTGACTATTGTGTTGTGAGCCAATAATATAACATTTAAAAACATTTCTTAAGACTGATAATGCAACTAATAGTAACTGTTAATAATAGTGTGAAAAAATAGTTTTAAAATGCATATTGAAGATGGTAACTATAAACAAAACTCTACAATAAATAAACTTTTATAAGAATATTTTAATTTACACTTGTACGTATTAATTCTAATAACATTTGACAACTGATAACAATATTATTACAATAATTTCTAACAGTTTTAATGGCTTGATAGTATGGAATAGTCCCAAAGCATATGTCTAAGTTAACATTGATATTTGATTGATATAGTTTGGGTTATGTGTTATGCCAAATTTGAACTGACATTGCCTTCACACCAATTAGTACCAGATGAGGATTTACTTTTCGCATCGACAGTATGAAGAATTTTGTATTATTGCTATGTTACGAACTTAATAATTTCGCCGTAAGTACAGAATAAGCTTTAAGTTCTACAATATTAGGACAGAAAATTTTGATGACGATGTAGATAATTCATGGAAATTCACATTGACAAATTCCCGTTAACCTCGATGAAAGAATAATTCAAGAGACCAAAATTTATAAATTTACCTAATAATATAGTCATACAAAAATATTCACAGGTGTTGTTGTTTAGTCAGATTTTGATTTAGGATTACAATGGATTAGGATTTCGGAGGATAATTTCCACCGAAGGCGGCATTAAATTGAAAGATATTCAATTGAAAATTTACAACAATCATGCATTTTATCTTCATCGGCATGATTTATTCTTTCTTTCAATTCTTAAATTCTCTGAATATGTAACAATTAGAGGATAAATTATATACAGATTATTATTTTAGTAAAATTGCATACAGCATCGAATATAAATTATCGGATTGATTTTTAAATTATGAATTTAAATCGTTCAATTGTTGCCATTTTTGATGATTTAATGTCGGTTGTTAAAACTGAATTGTCCAAATTTTAAACTTTCCAACCGTATTCGTAAATACTAAAACCAAGGCGACAATTGCCCACAATTTCTGCGAACCTTCACTTTATCTAGACTCCAAGGTCTGGGGAGATTTGGCTTAAATGGATGGGAGGTGATGATGGTGGAAGAGGTGGGTTTAGGTTTCACGAACTCCTGTTATACCATACATACACAATTTGCGGAGTTTCGGCATCGTGGCTTAGAGGGACCTTCTGTACATGTACGAGTTCATTTAATTTTACAAGTGCTTTGATTGCTTAGGGAAGAATTTCTAACCTTTCCAGGGAAAACCCTCCGAGGTGCCACAGATAAAACTGCCGGCAACTGCCCCCGGTTTGTCTAAAGCAGGGATGGCCAACTTTTTGCATACCATGCGCCAATTTTTTGACAGACGAATTCAGATGCGCCATATAACTTGAACACTTTTTATACAGTCTTATGTTCAATATTAGGAGTTGATAAATAGAGAGAAGAATAAATTTGCTTCGCTTAGGGGAGAAAAGGGAATAACTTAATCACGCAGTTGAATTAATTAATTTATGACAGTTTATTGAAGTACCAATTTACAATAGTCAACAATGATCTCCTGTACGAGAGGGTGATTGCTTCATGATGGTGCTATAGCTGCCAGAGTCTCGTTTGGTGAAGATTACTCTGCACCACAATTATTGGCACTGAGAACGAGATCAGCTTGGAATAACTTTACTCAAAATAAATGTTTTCGGCCATTTACACGCCTGTAAACTGATCGAAAATAAAGATCGCAAGACTCAAAATACATGCATACACTGTAATTTACTATGTGGAGAACACTCATTTTATCTGCAAAATAGACTGTAACGAATTGTGCAACAAATGAACTTGCCATGACAGACTATAAAAAATTTATTTTTCTATATAAT